CCCCCAAGTCCCAGCATCCACACACTGCCTGTCCCCCCCAAATCCCAACACCTAATGCCACCTGGCCCCCCAAGTCCCAACAGCCACATGCCGCCTCCTCCCAACACCCACACGCCCCCTGCCCCCCCCGCAAGTCTCAACACCCACACTCCACCTGGCCCCCGCAAGTCCTAATGCTGCCTGGCTGCGGAACACCCGATGCTGCCTGGCAAATACCAGCCATGGGCAGTCTTTCGATTATATCGTTTGAAAACGACCTATGTATAGAAATGGACTTTACTGACATAATTGAAGAGCTAGACAGCTATAGTAGACTGAAATACAAATGAAAATGTTTAATTATTGATGCAGAATTGTGTTTAAGAATAAATTACAATATCATTAAACTAAAAATTATCCAACTAAATTAAGTTTCTATCAAATTTACCCAATTCACATTTAATATGAAAAATAGCCTTCAATTTGCACATTTGACGCCTGTTTTCTATTTTGTCTCCAAAAGCTGATCCCTTTGTGCTACCTTGGGCCCCGCAAAATTGTGCTACCCTGGGCCCCTCAGAACTGTCATCTGCCCCTGATCACACAGCGACACCAGCTGCTGCTTGATGAGGATTGCCCCTCAGAGCTCTCATCTGCCCCTGATCACACAGCGACACCAGCTGCTGCTTGATGAGGATTGGTCCCTGTTCCATATTTATACGCAGAATTGCCGCAGGTTTTAATCTCAAGCACCCTGATGGTAAGTAAACCGGTTTGCATTGCTTGTGTGACCGTCCGCCCTCGCCATGCTTTGTGAAACGGACACAAATGTGTGTAACTCAAACGTGCTTTGCACAAAATGCAACTGATCCCTTTTGAAGTTGATATCTGCTGGAGCTTTGGTGCATGGCTCACTCTTGTGTGTGAAGCTGGCGATATGAGGTAGAGAATGGTGTTTGGGTTTAACCATGCACAGGAAAGCCCTCGAGGGTATTTCTCTCAATGTCTGGGTGATCACCTGTAAACAGCCTCCTTTGGCCTTAAAGTCAAAGCAGTGGTTGGTCTTAGGAAGGCATGGGACCACCCCAACCAGTTGGGTCTGACCAGGCAATTTCCCATAGAAGATGGGGGAGAGAACTCCAAAATCCCGCCCAAAGTGGAATCTATGACACAAGGAGAAGCTGCTGCCCCTCTGTCGCTGGCTGGCATGTCGGTCCCTGGAGGATGAACCCGAGACCCCAGGGAAAAAGGATCTCGCCTGGCTTGGAGGTGTAGCTGAAATAAGAATGGCTTTAGGGTGCTATTGTGCTGAGCTATTAGTGATAGAACTAACTCGGCCTTTCTTGCCATTTTCCATCTGTGATTCACTTTGTTCTGCCTGTTCTCACTTGCAGCCACCTAAATCCTCCTGCTTGTCCTTAGAAAATCACTTTGATTTAGTCTCCAGCCCAGTGTAAATAATTGTCACCTGGGGGAGCAATCGATGTGTCCATCCTCCTGTCATTGTTAAAGGGCGCTTGCCTGCCTGGTTTATTTGGGGTTCTGATCCGAGCTGCGGGTTGAATTCCTGGAAGCTGGGCCCAAAATGGCCTTCTCTTCAGACCTGAAGGGGTTGAGTGTCTATTGCTCTCCGGGATGGGCGGGGATGATCTCAGCTCTGTGCTTTGGGTGGCGGAAGTCAGGAGATCTGACTCAGCAGGACAGGGTGCTGATAAGCCCCGGGGAGCAAGAAGGGGAACACCAATGGGTTTGTCAGCACAGTGAGCGGCACCCCCAAGGGGTCTTCTGTGACCCCTTTCTGTCAGTGGTTGAGTCACATGCACATGATTGGTCTGTCACTGACCCGGTGTCTTTGTCACCCCTACAGATGAGCAGTTCTGTGAGCCACGCGGCAGAGAACCAGACCATCTCCGGTGTGTTCATCCTGCTGGGGTTTACCTACCTAAACAAGCTGCAAATCCTTCTGTTTCTGGTGCTTCTGGTCGCCTACCTGCTCACCCTGATGGGGAACCTCATCATTATCCTTCTGATAAAGCTCAACCCCTCCCTCCACACCCCCATGTATTTCTTCCTGGTGAACCTGTCTGTCTCGGAAATGTGCTGCACCACCTGCGTGACCCCTCAGCTACTGGTTCACCTCCTGGTGGAGGAAAAGACCATCTCCCTCGCTGGTTGTGCTGCCCAGTTGAATGTCTTTGACATCACAGGCCTCGCAGCTTGCTGTCTCCTCGCAGCCATGGCCTACGACCGGTATGTGGCCATATGCCACCCTTTGCATTATACAACCATCATGAGTGGCCGGGTGTGTGAGCTGCTCGCATGCACTTCATGGCTCATCAGCATCTCGGTGGCCACAGTTGAGGTCACGTGGCTCTTCAGCCTGCCCTTGTGTGGCTCCAACCGCATCCCCCATTTTTTCTGCTACAACGAATCATTACAGAAGATGCTCTGCACTGACTCTTGGAAGAACGTGATCTTTGGCTTGACCGTGCTGGTGCTGTTTGTTATGAGCCCTTTTTTACTGATAGTCCTGTCCTATGTCCGCATCATCTCCACCATCCTCAAGCTGCCGTCAGCGGAGGGGAGGCGTAAAGCCTTCTCCACCTGCTCCTCCCACCTCACGGTGGTGACTTTGCTCTATGGAACAGGACTTTTGAGTTACCTGAAACCCGCGTCAAACTCCACCCCTGAGAGCGATCTGCTGATATTCCTTATGCACACAGCTGTAACACCCATGATGAATCCCATAATATACACTCTGCGGAACAAAGAGGTGAAGGTAGCCTTTAGAAACACAGTAGGGAAGGTCTTCTTCTCACACAGCTGGAGATATTAGAGAATGGAAAGGAAAATTAGTGAAAACCATGTGAAAGAGGGAAATTCATTCACATTTGATTGAAGTTTCTGATGACCCTCACTTTTTAAACTGAGGTTTTGCCATTTGCAAAATGATGACCTATTCTAAATCTACCAGGAAACCTGGAATAGTAACATTTGTTACCAAAAAAAAACCCAGACCCCTAAATAGAATAGAAATTTCCATCACTCTGATGATGGATTCTTTGAAAAAAATGAAATGAGCATTTTCATTCAAAGTATTGTCTAGATTTCACATTTTTAGAGCCTTGTGTGGGCACAAAATTTGTATCTGAATATAAAAACACAGTAAAAGAACTAAAAAAGTGGCACTGTGGCTTAACAACCAAGTAAAAGAAACAGTGACTGATAAAAAGACATATTTTTAAAAGTGGAAGTAAAATCCTAGTGAGGAAAACAGAAAGGAGCATAAACTTCATCAAATTAAGTGTAAAAATAGAATAAGAAAAGCCAAAAAGGAGTTTGAAGAACAGCTAGCCAAAAATTCAAAAAGTAATAGCAACATGTTTTTAAGTACGTCAGAAGCATGAAGCTGGCTAAACAACCAGTGAGGCCCTTGGACGATCGAGATGCTAAAGGAGCCCTCAAAGATGATAAAGTCATTGTGCAGAAGCCAAATGAATTCTTTGCTTCAGTCTTCACAGCTGAGGATATTGGGGAGAGTCTCAAACCTGAGCCGTTCTTTTTAGGTGACAAATTTGAGGAATTGTCCCCGACTGAGATGTCATTAGAGGAGGTTATGGAACAAATTGAAAAACTTAACAGTAACAAGTCACCAGGACCAGATGGCATTCACCCAAGAGTTCTGAAAGAATTCAAATGGGAAATTGCAGATCTATTAACTGTGATATGTAACCTATCCTTTAAATCAGCTTCCATACTAATGACTTGAAGATAGCTAATGTGATGCCAATATTTAAAAAGGGCTCGAGAGGTGCTTCTGGCAATTACAGACTGCTAAGTCTAATGTCAGTACTAGGAAAATTAGTTGAAACTATAGTAAAGAATAAAATTGTCAGATACGTGGATGGACATAATTTGTTGGGGGAAAGTCAACATGGTTTCTGCAGAGGGAAATCCTGCTTTACTAATCTATTAGGGTATGTCTATACTACAAAGTTAATTCGAACTAACAGACGTTAGTTCGAATTAACTTCGATAGGCGCTACACATGGAAACCGCTAGTTTGAACTTAATTCGAACTAGGGGAGCGCTTAATTCGACCTAGGTAAACCTCATTCCACGAGGACTAACGCCTAGTTCGAATTAAGTAGTTCGAATTAAGGGGTGTGTAGCCCCTTAATTCGAACTAGTGGGAGGCTAGCCCTTCCCAGCTTGCCCTGGTGGCCACTCTGGGCAACCCGGCCTGGTCCGGGGAGGAGGGGGGGGGCGGGGGGCCATCGGGTGGGTGGCTCGATCCGTGCCAGGTGCAGGGTCGGCTGGCTGGGTGCTGGCAGGCTTGCACCTGGCACGGGCACTGTAGTCAGCCCGTGCCCCTTTAAGGAGTCCGGGGCCGGGAGGGGCGCATACGAGTTTCCCTGGTGGTGCCCAGAGTGGCCACCAGGGAAGCTGGGGAGGGCTAGCCTCCCACTAGTTTGAATTAAGTGGCTACACAGCCCTTAATTCGAATGGGTAAGTTCAAACTAGGCTTAGTCCTCATGGAATGAGGTTTACCTAGTTTAAACTAAGCACTCCGCTAGTTCGAATTAAGTTCGAACTAGCGGAGCGCTAGTCTAGCGCCTATCAAAGTTAATTCAAACTAAAGTCCGTTAGTTCGAATTAACTTTGTAGTGTAGACATACCCTTTGAAATGTCATCATTGTATCCATCATGTATTGCTGTATCATGGCATGTCTTGTAATGTTTATCATTCTTGTAACCTAACCTGTCAACCATCTTAAGAAACCATTAGCGTCTGGTCACCTGGCATGTAGTAATACCTGAGGGTATGTCTACACTACCCTCCTAATTCGAAATAGGAGGGTAATGTAGGCATACCGAAATTGCAAATGAAGCCCGGGATCAATGACATAGGGAAGTTTAGGAGAGAGGTTCTGGAGGCCAAATTTAGGCAGCTGGGAAAGAAACTGAAATCAAGACAACAGAGGGTGGGGTGGGGAGAAGGCAGCTATTCTGTAAAATGGGCACTAGGGGCAGCAGAGGGTGGGGGTGTGGAAGGGGCCTTGTGCCACTTCCGCAGGATAACGGTATTGTTTCTATGGTTTCGGATCCGGACCAGGAACGTCCCCAACTTCCTTGGTTTTTCCACAACTTAGTTTATGCTTGGCAAATACGGTCAGATGTTTATTAACTATCTCCTGGGTATCTGCCTCCCAGGAGGGCATCTGCAGATATCATTTGCCTTCAACGCCCCCAAACGATGAACACTTGGAATGATGGTTGTTACAGCCTCATCTCATTACCATAATGCTCAGTACCATAGATTTAAAAGAATTGGTTCCGTAACAATAACACATGAATATTCATATCAACGCTCAATTGTTTTACATATTCATAAGTTTTCAAATTCAAACAGTCAGGGTATGTCTACACTACCCTCCTAGTTCGAACTAGGAGGGTAGTGTAGACATACCCTGACTGTTTGAATTTGAAAACTTATGAATATGTAAAACAATTGAGCGTTGATATGAATATTCATGTGTTATTGTTACGGAACCAATTCTTTTAAATCTATGGTACTGAGCATTATGGTAATGAGATGAGGCTGTAACAACCATCATTCCAAGTGTTCATCGTTTGGGGGCGTTGAAGGCAAATGATATCTGCAGATGCCCTCCTGGGAGGCAGATACCCAGGAGATAGTTAATAAACATCTGACCGTATTTGCCAAGCATAAACTAAGTTGTGGAAAAACCAAGGAAGTTGGGGACGTTCCTGGTCCGGATCCGAAACCATAGAAACAATACCGTTATCCTGCGGAAGTGGCACAAGGCCCCTTCCACACCCCCACCCTCTGCTGCCCCTAGTGCCCATTTTACAGAATAGCTGCCTTCTCCCCACCCCACCCTCTGTTGTCTTGATTTCAGTTTCTTTCCCAGCTGCCTAAATTTGGCCTCCAGAACCTCTCTCCTAAACTTCCCTATGTCATTGGATGTACCACGACCACCGACTCCTTCCCTGCTCTACACATAAGTCTATCCAGATGTCTCAAGAGATCCACAACCTGAGCACAAGGCAGGCCAGGTTTTCATATCCCCTACTCAGAACTCCGGTCATCTGAAGAAGTGGGCTGTGCCCACGAAAGCTCATGATCCCATCCACATGTTTTGTTAGTCCAGAAAGTGCTACCAGACCATTTGTTGTTGGGTTTTTTAATAGCTTCAGGGGGTAGCTGAGTTAGTCTGTGCAGGGTAAACTTAAAAAACAGCAGATAGTCTGGTAGCACTTTAAGGACGAACTAAACATGTAGATGGTATCATTGTTGCTAATGAGCTACCTAATGAGCTAGCTATGTTTCTAATGATTGAATCTCTCCCCCACCCCCATTACTAACACCTGCCTTGTCCTGATGACTGGAGTTTGCTTCCCCGGAGAGGTATCCTCAGTGCAAGGGGATCCCACAATATCCTCTGGAAGGAGGGTCCCAACCATGGGATCATTTCCATCCGCTCCTGTTGATTTTTCTCCTTCCCTGAGCCTTTCATCCTGTTTCACAGCACCGGGGCTGTCTGACTGGAGGGGGACATTTCTACAGTGTCCCGGAAAGCCTCATCTACATGCTTCTCGGCCTCCCTTTGTGACGTAGTGGGGGTACCTGGCTGGTTTCTATGCTGCTGGCTCTGGGGTAACCCCCACTGGCTGCCGTGGGTACCACGACCCAGCAAAACAGGATGAGTCACTATGCAAACGAGTATGGCCAGACACCCCCCATGGAGAGGAACAAAGGAAGGGGGAATGCTGCCCTGGCTGGGGGGCAGGGCTGGAAGAGAGTTGGTTAGTTCCTGTCTGGAAAGCAGGGGAGAAGGAGCTGGGGAGGGGGGCTGGGACTCCCCTATCTCAAGGGGGGCACTGAGGCCTCTTAGCCCCAGTTCCTGTAACCAGATTACATCTGTGCTGCGCTGTGCTGGAGGAACAATAAACCACCCTCAATTCCACTGGCTGGTGGAGTCTGTTTGTGCCATTTCGGGGTGCAGGAGACGGGGGACCCCCAACGCGCCGTCACACCCTTAGCTCCTCCAGTTCAGCCACTCTGGCGTCCAAAGCCTGTTCGTGGTCTCTAGCAGCCAGGTGCTCCTTGCACCGAACGCACACGCCCGCCACCCGCCCACAGGGCAGGTAATCCTACATGCTACATTGGGTGCAATAAGCAGGGGAGCCACTTCTAGGGCTGCCAGGTGTCCAGTTTTGAACCAGACAGCCCAGTATTTGAGCTTTGTGTTCAGGAAACAAATTGAGAAAATAGAAATGTGCAGTATTTTCTAAGGAAGAGGTGATGTAGATTGCGATGTAATGTCAAGTGTGTCCAGGATTCTTGCGGGAACCATCTGGCAACCCTCGCTGCTTCTGCCTGCATCCTCTCGGACAGCTAATTAGGTTACTGAAAGGGAGGAAAGGGTTATTTAAATCAGGAAGATGTGGTTTTAGTTTAATTCCAAAGTTTTAAAGTCTCACACTTTTCTGCTCCCAGCTCCCTCACAAAACTCCCTGTTAGCTGCCCCGGTTGCAAAGGCCCTTGTGGTTTTATACGGCCTTGGACTTCCTGATAGCCCCGTTGCCTGCGTAAATCTTGAGCGATGAACAGACGTTTCTAGATTTCAAATCCTCGTTAAGAAGCTCACAGCTTGCAATGGCTGGTCACCGCACACAGCTCAGCACTTGAATCTCCGAACAAACAGAAAAACAGAGAAACTAACAGAGAAACGCAAGCTCAGCACACAGTTTCTTTAAGGCAATCAGCAAGTAACCCCCAAATGCACACACTACAGACAGCCACTTACC